GATAGAATGCATGAGGACAACGGATAACCAGGCTGCAAGTATGCACGATTTTGACAGAAAATTTCCTCCCTTTCCTTCTAAGCTTTAATCTTCTGCTCTCTTAAATTCGCTGAACTATGTCAATGTCGTCGTATATCCCGTACAGCTAATTATTCCATCGCTTTAGTTTACCCTTAAAAACCGACTGGGGCTCTACTCCGGCGATTTCCTTTCGCTCGCATAGAGCAGAGAAAAAACCAGCAGAGGTGATTCTGTGACGCTTTCAATGATGCATTCTATTCGTAATGAACTAAACATATTCTATTTCAACGCGCTTTCAACCAAATGAATGAATAATAATATATTATTGGTTGAGTGGTCCAACAGCGGCAGGAACAAGGACAAATAAACGTTGTTGGCCACACCGATATGTCATATAGTGATAGGCAGACAAAGAAGCTTCATACGCATCTAAAACCAGCATTCCGTACTAGTACAGGAAGCCTTATGATGTTTCCTGTCGAACACCTACAAAGTGAGGCTTGACTGCTTCTGGAAAAGAAACACAGTATACTCCTTTCTAAGTACCCTGCATGAAGCGAAATCGCTTTCTATTAGCATGAAGGCCTTTGGTTGATTATGTCGATAATATTGAACAATGTGCCGACCAAACTACGGACCAACACACTTTCGACACGCACTGGTGACCATTAACGATGGATCCATTAACACCATCACYTACTCTCTCCCAGTGAATGGCGTACTTGGAGTCAAACCACCACCCATTGCAGACGAAGAGTGACTCATATATGTATATCAAATATTTGTCGAGCGTGCAATGAGTCCACGCATAACTCTAACCGTCTCTTTGTATATCTAGCGAACTCCACTCTCCTTATGTTCCGACCTCTTTCAAACAGCACATATCCTGGATCTACCGTTGTTTTCGATTGGATGTTTCGATGACAACTAACTTGAACCTTGTTACCAAGCGGGGTCTTGCTACCAGTACAACAATAACAATAACAATCACAATAACAAAAACCTTATAACTCTGCAACAGTATGTGGCAACCTATACCTTCCTTACTCTCTTCCATCAGGGATAAGCATCAGATAGTTTACTCTATCAACAAGTGGAAGGAGAGCTTCCCAAGGAATATAAAGACACCGCTGAGGTTTTTACCTCCAGGTTGATGGCTAAGCAGCTTCTATTCACCCAGTTAGATAACTCATTGCGACCATTTGTAGTTATTCGACTTTTTGACCGTGCTTAGTACACTACTCACTACTATGACTTTACACTGTTGGTTCTGTCTTCTTTATGTTATATATGGTAGTGAATCGTACACTTCAACTCAGTCGTATCCTTCAACTGCCACTGAACTCGTATACGCTAAATTTCATTGTAATCCATCGAGCTTGTAACTTAGTCTAAAGAAGTTTTACGTTAATAATAATAATATCAAATTACCAAGGCTTTGTTAAATTCTATGCTTTGCTTATATTTACAGGAAAATGTTTACCTTTTGATGCATAATATAATAAAAGCAGTTGTTTGCTATTTTCAATGAAAATTTAATGTATTTACTGCAACTTATTTGCCGACATTGCGAAAACTTCTCAATTTATCATACTTCATTCTCAGCACAAATTACTTAAATAACTTACATTTGCACAAAAAAGGTGTACCATTAAATAAACTAGTTTTATTCGTACTTCATAGGCGCCATTAGAATACTGCCGCGCGATTTAAATATTTGCCAAAATATTCCGCAATACCCAAACCAGCGAAACCAATGCTGAAAATGTTAATTTTTCATGCCGCACTGACTGCCAATGCCTCTGTATGTGAACATGCACGCGCATATGTCTGTATGTGTGTTTGCGGCAAGGAAGTGGCTATGAGATTTTCCATAGACACGCTTGCCACAGATACCGACGCAAATTCGTTGATTTGTACAAGTGTGTGTGTGTGTGATTGTGTTTATATACGAATATATTCGCAACAGCATAAACAAATAGAAATAACAATAACACATTTTTGGAAATAAACTTGTTAAATTGTTTAACGCACGCGAAAACTATATTAGTGGCATTCATGGCGTAGGGCGCACGGAGCGAAACGTTTGGCAGCAATACATGCAAACAAATAGCAATTTGGCGCAGTGCCTTCAAAGCGGCAAATTTGTGTGCCTCTGTGTGTCTATGTGTATGCGTGGCGCGAATGCCTTAAAAGGTAGTCAGTTTCGGCAAACACTTTGTATTGCCTACGCCAAGGCGCACACGCCACACGCCTGCCTTGAGCGCCTTGCCACTTCGCGCTGTCGCACTTGTGCGCTTCCATTGAGGAATTTCGTGCCGCTTGTTTTGGTCTTGGCTTGCATGCGCCCCAATCACTTGTACAACATGCCACGCAATCCCGGGCACTTGCTGCCAATAACAATAGCAACAACAACAACAAAAGCACCAACAACCACGCGCATATACAGTTTTGCTGGCTTCTGACCAGCTAGCGTCGGATTTAGCTGGCTTGTGACAGCTGCTCGACCAGATTTATCGAGTGGAACGTCGCCCGTTGCGGTGGGGTAGATGGTTAAGAATTCGATGAGCGAATCGATAAGCTGTAGAAAGTTAACACAGTTGAACTCGTTCAGCGGAAAAACAAACAAAATGCCAAAACGCCAAAAATGTGAAACAAGCTAAAGAATTAGCTTCGTGTCTGAGGCGCGTGCTTGTGGCGGACATTTTTGGAATGACTACTTTCGGTTGGTGCGCCTGGTAGCCAGGCATGTACAAAACCAAATCAAAAGCAAAAAAAAAAAAAAAAAAACAAATGCACAATAAAAAACCTTCAACAACACAAAGCGTGTGCCTGCAGGCCGCGCTGGCCACCGCCTACCGCGTCACCTACGGGCTGTAGGTTTCTTTTGTTGTTTAGCACGCTGACCGTACCGTCCGGCTGCGTGCTATTGTCCTACGAGTTGCTATCGTCTATAGTCATGAATTTATCTAAAAATGATTGTTGTAAATGTGTATTTCGCTTTTGTTGTTTGCTCATATTCGCATGCAATCCAGACATCTCTTACGATCTTACGAGATAGTAATAACAATTGCGACGGTCATTAGTTAACTTAATTGCGGAATACGTTGCACGTGCTGGCCGCCCACAAGCTCGGCCTCCACCGGCGCGTGTGTCATCAATAGGTGGCAGTGGTAAGTAAATATTCCGCAGCCATAAAAAGCTGTTCGTACCCGCCTCCGCTCGTCACTCACATATTTGTGGTATTTAATTGCTTGGCCACAATAAAAGATTAATTACGTGCATAAATAATGTTTAGTATGTTTAAGTGAATAAATTAAACAAGTTGAGGCTGTAATCTATTACTTACCAACTTACGTGCTTACTTACGTGTATTAACTGGCCTTCRTGCCACACATTCATGACATTCGTAAAATTTCACTTTACTTTGCATTCACTTGCCTAGTTTTGCCAAATTGGAAATGTTCTTCAAGTCTGGCCACGTCCGTGTCACGCGGTTTCACTAACAAGTAGCAGCGTTCGAAGTATGCTGGAGGTCATGCGGTTAAACTTTTACGCGCTGGTGTAAGTGAGCTGCATAGTTTTGCGAGCTGCTTCGAAATTATTTAATTAGTCCTTACGAATTTATGCTGAGAAGCTTAAAATTTGAGTATCGCCATTTAAATTTTAGACAACTTTGTTAAAAAGTAATTGATCTCTGGCTAACTGTCTGTGCTTATGCACTAAATTATATTTGATTCCCCCTCATAGATATAAGAACTATAACAGGAGTGGTAACAGGCCACTGTCTTGTTGCAAGACATGCCAACAGACTGTGTGGTATATACACTATTGCTGTAGAAGCTAACAAAGGAAAGAAGTAGAAGAGAGTGTAGAACTTCTTCTTTGCGGCTTGGCATAGGAAAAATTACTAACGATCTCGATTTTCTTAACCATGTCACATTTAAAACTTTGATGAGCTTTATTTCGAGAAGAATATTAGTGTAAGGGGATAGAAGAGCCTCTGGTTTCATAATATACATCCTGAAGGTCTGTTTACGGGTCAGAAATTCACAGGTACTTACCTACCTGCCTTCCTATAGAAACTTCCTTGAGGCCTCACTATGTATCAGACGCCCTGTTAGGTTTTTGGCAAAAGTTGAAACACCCGCAATCTATGGATAATCAGCGCGGAGATGCTGATGGGACAAGCAAAGGAACAAACTAGTATTGTGTAGATGAGAGAAAAATTCAAGGTAGGAAAAGAAATCCAAAAAGAAAATCTGATAGAGCTAGCTTTGGGTTTGGATCGGTAAGATCTAAAGTTAAAATATATTTTAGTCACGAAAACATTTCCAATTAATGCAAAAAAGAACCAAAAATGTGCTAGCACGTACGTGTTTCAATACAAATCTTTATTATAATAATAAACTGATGAGTTTAATGGATTTAGGGCACTTAGCTACGTTACGAAGCACTTCAACTATGGCGTCTATTCGACGTTCTATTAATAGTTGCAGAGAATTAAGTTCAATGTATTATTTTTACCCAAAAGAGGACCTGTGACCTCCATATCGAGATTCTCTGTCATTTTGCGATAGTTTCACCACTTAAAAGGATATGATATCTTTCGGGCTTAAGGTATTATGTATATTTGGATGAATAAAAGGAAGTGTTATGATGCACAATAGGTTTAATTACCACCGTTCCCGTACCGCTCTGCCATTTTCAAGCCATTTTCACTATGATGTAGCATTAAAAAGACGAAATTGGTATACTAACTCGTTTTTATGGCAGTATAACCATTTTTAGTGGAAAAAAAGCTTACGAGCATACTTTTGGTTGAAAACGAATGTAAATTCTTATAAAAAGGCAGCAATGGCGACTAAAGTCAAATTTTATGAGATAAGCAAACCTTAACGTCAGATGAGAATTTTGTGTAGAGCTATGGGTATTAACTTTTCCACGTATTAATTCAATACATGCTTCTTTATTTGCAGGATATCAAGCGACACGACCAAGGTGTTTACCGCTGCCGCATCGACTTCCGTACAAGTCAAACGCAAAGCTTCCGCTTCAACCTCACCGTCATAAGTAAGTTTTAAAATTCCACACACTGCGCACCAAATAATTGAAAGTTACAAAACAATTTGTTTAAAGCAGCAATGGAGAAGAGCTAGAGAGCAAAAAGCAGTCTAAAATATCCAAAAATAGAAACTTGATTAGTAGTCTAAAATATTAGTTCATTACTTCGAAATTCTTTAAACGCACACGCACGACCAGTTATGGATCTGCTTAACTAACTTCCTCTTTGCAGTACTTCCCGAACAGCCAATTATATTGGATCGCTGGGGGCGACAGCTGAATGGCACGCTGCTCGGACCGAAGCAGGAAGGTGATGATATTGTTATCACGTGCCGTGTGGTGGGAGGTGAGTGACTTTATACTTTTGTTTCTATTATACCCTAAGCAGAATATATTGCTTGTCCAAAAAGTCTTGCGGTATTTTCGCTAGTTGGCGATGAGAGCGCGTAGTTCTAGTTTTGTTCGTCGCATCGGGTCATGCTATACCTTTTTGGAAAGCCATTTCACGCGCTAACACGTCTTTGATTGATTG